AAACTTGCATGTACTTTGCTAATGTCTTTAAATGCTATTTTTGAGGTGTATTTGAAAATATATGAAAAATATACTTTTTGGGCTTATATAACTGGTTGTAAAGAAGTGAATGCATTGACATTTAACTAGTAAGGAAATAGTTGTCTGAGGATCTTTTAGAAGTGCACCTATTGAATGAATACTTGTATTTTTCTGCCTTTTTTTTTTTTAATTCCACTGTTGATTTTTCTATCCGTGATTGAAATGTCCTCATCTGCTTCAGTGTTGAAGGCTTTTTTTCTGTATGTGTGGATGTATGTTTTTTTCCAGCAGGACTTTTCCTCCTGTAGATGTATAAGAAATTATGCATCAGACAAAAGCCTCATAAACTGACCATTTGTCCTTTGGACACAATAGCCTGCCCAGCCCCTCTGCTCCTCCTCTCCAATTATGTGTGATTAGTCTCAGTGTGTTGTGTCAAGAAGGGGGAGTGTGCTGAGTGCTTATTATCTGTTTAGGTACAAGAAGAGCACATTTAGGTTCTGACTATGAATGGAAAGTGAGCCTTTATCAGGACTAAAATCTAAATGCTACTATCCTAGAAATGGCTTTAAAAAAAAACACATCTTTTTTGATAATATAACAACCAAAGGATTTTATAGTGTAATCAAACTCTCTCCCTTGAATTAGTTTATATTGGGATATATTGTGGCCCACATTTTTGGTAAACATTTAATGTTATTTTTCTTGGTCTTGGAAAGAGAAAAATCCTGCAAAGAAACAAGAGCAATATCTGATTTTCTTAACAGTTTAACAGACCATTTTAATGACTTCTCAGTAACAGTCTCTTAAACCACAACACTTTCAAGATGTTGAAAAAAGAGAGAGAGGCAGAGGCCATGGCTGAGAGAAGAAGGTACCAGATGCAAGCAAGTGTAGAGAATCATGCTGAAGTACATTAATTAAAAGAACTGCAATGTGGGAATAAGTGTTCTTTCATATTTAACAAATTGGACAGTATATAAACCACAAGCTTGTGAAAGTCCCTTTCTTTTCGTTCTTCTTCTCAAACAAATTTCTTCACTACCGGTTTGCATGTCCTTGTATTCAGTACTTTTTATGCTCCATTAGAGCACCTAGATGGATCTCAGAAGGCATAGGTCAAGTCGCAGTTAGATCATACATTTCTTTCTCACAAAAACTTGAATTGCAATGCCAAGTGATGGGCTAACATCACAATAACAGCAATTTATTCCTCTTTTGATAAAAAGCAGCCTATTCTCGGTGTTAGATAAAGACCAGGGGCAATGCAAACCAACCATTTATCCTAGAACTGAGTGCTGTGTCCCCACTATAGCTGGTATGAGTTTCATATTCAAACTCCTGTTGGAAGACACTTGTCTAGTAAGAAATCAAAAGCATTTAGAAGTAATTTGAAATTGCTGTGAAGATGGCTTTAGTTTAATTAGTTTTGGTTTGTTTGTCCCACACAGCAGTGCCTTTGTTTCTCTAAAAACATGTACAAGGAAATCTTCCTAATCAACAAAGCAGTGTGAAAAATAGCTCAATATTAAAATTTGTGAACCTTTTATTTTTGAGAGGGCCTGAATGTCTGCTGTACAATAATCTAATAAAGATCGTTAGTTGCCAAAAAAAGAAGCAGTGTCATTGAAAATTGTGGTTTTAGCTCTAAGAAGAAAAGAGTTTTACTCAAATTAGTAGCTGATAATTGCTTTTTATTTCTTTAGTGTCTGTCGTTTGAGTTGAAGGCTTTGCACAGGTGCTGCCATGCCTAAAGTGTGTAATTGATGGCTTGTTTACCAAAGATGCATTTAGGCTTCATCCTGCAAACTCACATTGGAGCTCCACAGGCAGTAAAGTTACTCATCTACATAAGTGCTTGCAGGTTTGGTCTGTGTGCACATTTTTAGAGGTATACAAGCAAGTTCTCGTTTGGTTTTTTTTTGTTTGTTTGTTTCAACATGGCTATTGAAAAGTCACAGATGTAGTATTTACATGAGGCACTAGAAGTGTTCTTTTTCTAGAGACATATCTCAGAGTCACTTGTGTCAGTAGGAATTTGAATTGTTTCTGAGCTCTTAAATTCAAGTAAAAATACAGTGTTTATTAATACATCAAGTATCTTTGTTAAGAAAATGTTCAGCAGTTTTTCAAAGCATGCTTATAAAATGTATCAGAGCCTTTTATGTGGTGTTTTAACTAGTCTCTGATACTTGGAAAATTTTTAATTATATAGTTTACAGTGTTCTGTAACAGAATATTGAGCTTAATTACTTCGTGTTTGCTAAGAAGTTGAAGTTGAACGATGCTGTGCAAGAGCTATGCTGGCTTCACCAAGAGTGGAAATGTTAGGCTGATGCAAGTTTTCCTTCACAGACATCAGTAGTTCTTACAGAAATGTTCTGTCTTCCTCCTTTCTCAGAGAAAAATAGGCACCCATTCCCCTGGGCACAGCCCTTATGCACCTGGTGCCTCTGGCAGCAAGTTGTGTGATCTTCAGGATATAAAAGATCAAGAAAAAAATGTTCCATTTCCTGCTGTGAGATATGGCAGAGGCTTTCTTACAAATTACCAACTCATGCTATCTGATAACATTCTGGAACAATGGGACAAATCTTTGCATTTGGGAAGTAAGTTTGATTTGAAATGAAAAATATCTAAAGAGTGTGAAATAAGGCAGAAGAACTTACTGTCCCAGGTACCAGTCCAGCTTCAAAATCCTTATTGGACAAGTCATTTACAATTTGCCTGAGGCTTTAATGGCTGCATGTTTGCGTGAGGAGGGAAGCAGGATTAAAATTGTTCCCCCCCTCCCCAAAGGCATCCTTACATCTTAAGCCTGGCTGCATACGGTTTATCAAGTGTTATATCTCCATTACAACTCTCCTTCCCTGTTCCCTGAACAAAAGAGGATGCAGTGGGTGGAGCTTCTGATCCTCCTCTTGATATGGCAGGTGGCACAGCTGATATGGCAGGGGGAAGAGGGAAAAGGCAGCAACACAGGCAAGTCAAACAGAACAGTGTTTTATTACCCACTCTCCTAATGCAAGAGGGGAATAACTGGGTCCTTGTATTTTCACAGGGCAAATTATGAACGCATAGTTTTAGCCTGGATTTATGTTTTTATGCGTGGTTTTCTTCTTCTTTACATCAGGGAATGAGCACTGATGTCAAACTGCAAATTCCTTTAACTCTCGTGAAATGTTTTGAGACACTTAGTAGAAAGTGCTAAGACAGCGTGCATCAGTGGTTATGTCTAAAATGTTTTCTGCACAGCCTTGTCATCACATATTGTTTCCTTAGAAAGAGACAATTTTGTGGCTTTTTTCTTTTTATTCATGTTTTAGATTGTTCTGAGTCTCATTAAGGTGGATTGATTAAGATGGATTGTCATGCCTCCACTGTCACAAGTCGGTTGCCTAACATTGGTTGTAAGCATACCAGTATCTTTTGAAAGATTGTTCTAAAAGCTGATTTTCAATATGATCCTCACCTGCAACACAACAGCACTTACTTAACCCAGCCAAAATGAGGGCGCTTTGATGCAAAATCCCATGAAGCTAAAAGAATGCATGACTTTGCAGCTGAATGTGTAAGTAAAGCCAGAACCCCCCCTAACTCCTCATATGGGGGAACCTAAGACACATTGCTGTCTCCTTTGCCTATAGCCATTTAGAAATTAGGCAATGCACTCTATAACTGGCCCCAGATTTTGTGAGACTCAGTGCTGCATCTCCTCTACAAGATCCCTCTCCGACGTGTGGACTCTGTTCAAACAGCTGAATGTAACAAACCTAACTTTTCTTTCCCATTTTTAAAGGATTTAGCCTATTACAGCTCCTTGCTTAGTCAGCAGCTGGCTTGCTGCCAAAAAGCCCAGCATATTGTTGTGGCTGGGTAAAAGCTGGATATTTTCCATCGCTGTCCAACAGCGGTATTGGATCTTCATTGTCTTCTTGTGTGTAAAGTGTGTGGAAAGTAGAGGGAAGATGCACGAAGCGGTAGTCCAGATGGCATTCCACAGCCTGAGAAGAAACATCTTGACCCTCGAATCTGGGTTAAACTCAACAGATGCCAAGCCCCCAAAAACAAAGAGCTGTTGTGGCTGACGACAGCGAAGGAGTGATAGGCCTTTGGTAATAGAAAGTATCTTTTATTTTGGATGCATTTCCCTGCAGATAACCAACACAGTGTCACTTGTAGAAGATTGCTTGTTAAAAACAAGCAAAAAATGATGTTTCTCTGCATTAGGCACTGTCCCCCGTCAGTTGTAAAATGTTACCCCTGGGTGAGGGTTATGCTCACAGAGAGGATTGGAAAATTCAGACTGTGCAGTGCCCTGCCAGAGCCTGTGTGCTAAAAGACCTGTTATTTTTTCCTGACTCTGACTCCAATTAATGTACTTTTTAAATGATTAAACATATCATGCTGTGACTTCTGAAATGTCAACAAGCTTCGAAACTTGGGAGACAGGAATGTAATAAAATAGGTAATAGGAGATTCAATAGTTAATAGAGACCCTGAAGTGTGAGTGTATACAGTAGCTGTATATTGGAAACTGTGCAAATGAAGATGGCTTGGTATTGCAAACTGAGGAAGAAAATTGTTTTTAATTAGCACCTTCATAAGAACTGCTGATTAATACTGTTTGGTTTGGTGAAAAGCTTTCAGCTGAGTAATTTGTACAGCCATTACAACAGTTTTGTTAGACCAGGACTCCTGTTGTTAAACACAAACAGCAGATGATAATGGTGGAAGATGAGTTTGTCATGTAACAATTTACCTTATTGAAAAAAGCTTTATATAAAACCCAATACAGTAGGTACCAGCAGAAATCACATATTTTAAATCCTTTCAAGATTGCAGTGTGCGATGCAAGTGTGTTTTTTCATGGACGAGAAACAGATTTTATATCATTTATAAAATTATATATACAATTTAAAGGTGTTGTAGCATGGACAGACCACTTTACTGGTAATGCTTTACATCAGGACAGTAAAGTGCTGGTATATTCAAACACTTCCTAAGTATATAAAGTCGGTCAAAAAATTGAAAGGTAATTAAGTAATATTGTTCACATGCAAATGTATGTTTGTGCATTATGCACTGAAATTACATCTGGTGTTTGTGCAACATCTAGCATTTATACCTAAGGCTTTAAGGAGATTTTCTCCCAGGTTAACTACTGTTCACTGCAATTGCTTCCCCTTCTTTTCAACTGACAACAGTAAAATTAAAACCCGTTATCCATGTCTCCATAATACACAGGCATATGCATTTTAGTGGCCCGGATAGGAAATTTAGAGCCTTCTGTAGAAACTGAGGGATTTTATTAAATGTGGTAACAATGAAGGAATATCTGCACTAAATTATGACGCTAACCAAGGATGGTAAGATCTGTAAATTATTGGAGTGCTATAATAGAACATGAGAGTTTTCCTTTAGACAGGCCTTCGGGGTAATAACAAGGGTTGAGACTCACGACAGTGCCAAATAAGCTTTAGACAGCATAATAGTCTGCAAAGAAAAGCCACAGAGCACTAATGTAAAAGAAGAGCTGTCCACCACATGCAGTAAAAATCACCAAAGGTCATTTTATGGTAGCAATTGTGACATAAAATTGGTGGTCATGCTACATGTCTAATACTCAGCACAGCTTTATAAATGATGGGCCCCTAGCGATGGCTGTCATTAAGTGCTTTCATCATAATAAACTTTAAACTGTTGGCTTTATGAATCGCCAGCCA